TCAGCACGGGGGCTCGTTCTGATGCTCAAACTGTTAAAAAATGCAAATGACGACTTTTGTCGTCATTGGCAGTGAACGGTTGGATCTAAAATGACGACTTTAGTCGTCATTGGCAGTGAATGAGTTAAAAGAGAAAATGTACATTCCTTTTGCACACCTCTGAACAGGAGGTATTATTTTTTTCAAACATAGCTTTTTATTAAAATGTTCCATATTCTAACTTTAAGTCCAACAGGGACTGGACCGGCAACTCTGAAGTACAAGGTGTGATATTCTGGCCAAAGGGGGTGGTGGGGACTGAGTGGCCTTTCAATAACCTTGTAAAGGCTCATTTTAGCACATACCGGCTCACAAGCCAAGATGGGTGAGTCCATGAATGCTAATTTTCTGTATGATGTAGATCTGACTGGTTTTACTAATCCGAGCATTCCCCGTGTATTTTCTATTGCCGCCTAATGCAGGAAACAGGGATAAACGGTTATTTTCACGTTCAGCCTGCACGTTAAACTCGGAGTGACCAATCATATTTAAAAAGTAAAAACTGTTTCTCAGTGATCTTCGTCAACTCCTGTTTGTAAGTTTGTGTTAATGCACATGTTGCAATGCAGTAGTGTTTAAACTCAACAGCCTAAAACAAAGATATATCAAAATGTGTTGATGCATGATTAATTCATTACATTAGAGCTGTCATTACTGGTGCATACCGTTTTTTAATGAATACCTTACAAAAAAATTTCAGTATCAAGGGAAAGTTGAAAAATCATTCAAATAATTGATCCCCCATGTTTGTAGTCATGTATATGAAGTCAGCAACGGTGACTCTGACTGAGAGCGCTACATAAACAACTCAGACAATGTGCTGGAGGGAATCAGATCCCATATGTGTACGTTAAAATGCCAGTTATAGTAGTGCATTGCACTCTATCTTAAATCTGCATAATTTATATAGTGTATCATCCGACTAACCCCAACCTTTTCTTCTGTTTATAGCCTGCTGATACCATTTTTCTATGATTTAAATGGGAGAAGAAATAGTCATGGGGAATCTTATCTTCCACAGTGAGCTGGCCCTTTTACACGGTGGTTAGAAACATTAAATACAAATGAAAGATAAATCTTTTTATTCATGTTAAATCCACTATATTAAGCTTTTACTTTGATGAGCAGCATGACTTAAAAATCAATTTTTTAGATGTTTTCTGTGATGTTCTCACCAAGTTTTACACCTTTAATACAGTTAGTAAAACAATATAACAAATATTGGTTTCCTTGATGATGACACATCCATTTTAATGCAAGCTAATGCCATGCGGCTCGGTTTGCAAAACTCAAAAGTTTCTGCTTGATGTGGAAAAGGTCTAAGATCACAGTGCTGTTTAATTCACAGCCAGAGGATAAATATTCAGTGCGTCTGCGTTTCCATCCAGCTGTTTTTGAGTTGTACATTATCACACGCATCAGTGAAAGTTCAGGTTTAATTGAGTGCTCATTGTCCTCAATGCCACAACACTGTCAGTTAAACAGATTTTTGAATTGCAAAACATTCTAATTAAATGTTTAAATGCACATAAAACTGGTAGCTCTGTGAGCAAATTATACCAGAATGCTTTTCACTTAGGTGATAGGTTCTCCGGTTTAACGCTGCTGATTCTTCTAACAACATTCGTGTATGCCTATGAAGGCATGGCAACATATTTTCTTTCTTGTTTTCTTACATATAGGAGTTTGCATGCGTTATTGGAGATTAAGCTGCTTTTACAAATAGGCTCTTTGCAGATGTTCTTTTCTTTTCTTGTCCAAACGTTCCTGATTTCCTCTGTGACTTTCTCTGTGAGAAATATTTAAAGAAAAACAACCCGTATGCATGACTATTCGATTTCTCTTCAGTGAAAAATGAAAGTAGTTTAAAAGCTTTAGCTTCAAACATGCTTCTTTATTCTAACTATGTGGAAGAGCGCTTGTATCGCCTCCTTGGAGGATGCACCTCAACTTAAAGATTGTTTATTCAGTCACTAATTTAAAGGATGATGCTGATCAATAATATAAAAACATATTTAGCAGAGATTATTTTTGTACTTTTGTCAAATCTTTGTCAGTAAAGTTCTTTAATAATGTTTTGTGGTGACAATGAGATGACAACATTTGACCACCTCAAATGTCAATAAAGCAATGCATCATGGGGAATGAGAAAACTCATTATTTCATAAATTCTGCTGTGGTTTATGTAACAAATGAATGCTCTGACAATCCTGCTTCAGGAAATATACGTTAACCAGAGGAGTGGTGAGCAGAAAATGGCAAGATTCTGAGTTTTACTCATTATTATTCATGATATGCAAACATTTCACCTCTGATTGGCTAATAGCATCACAACTCTTCCACTGTCTTCATTCAATCTTCTTTCATGGGTAAAATAACTGAAACCTTAATGTTTTATCTCCACAAACAACACAAGCCTGAACGTGTTCCACTATGTTGTAAAGTTGCTAATGCTAATAGTTAGCTTCTACTAGTCAAGATGCGCTTTGCTCTCTCCTGGCTGTTAAATCACAGCTTCCCCAGTAACAAGCCAAGATGGATTAGTCCATGAATTCAAAGTTTACAAATTTAATGCAAGAATTGGGGGCGGAGGACCACTTTTACAATCAGCATGCATGTGAAACTCATAGTGACCAATCGTAGTTTGAAAAGATCAAGTGTTTGTCAAATGACGTTCATTTTTAAAGGAATTCTTTGGAAATTTTTCATATTTTTAAATAATTTTCTTGCACCAATATGTGCTAAAATTACTCTTTACAGGGTTACTAAAATGTCACCCTGACCCCCCACCGCCCTCTGTGGCCTGAATGCCACACCTGCAACTTCTGAGTAGCAGGCCTACTTACTTGCCACTGCAGTCTGTTTCCAGCATGTTTTAGACCAGAAATGCAGCTGATTTGTTTGATTTAGTGATGAGTCGCTCTTCTAGAAACCAATGAAGGCTGAAGAGACATTTCAGCTGTGGGATTAAGGTGTTGAAAAGGCTAACTCAAAGCGAGGAGATAAATTTCACTTTTGCTTTGACCACAGATTATTATTACCGGACACTAGGGGGTCCTAAATGCAAGCAAAACCGCCAAGTATCCTAAGAAAATTGACAGAGGACATTTGAGTTTAAAAAAAACTTTTCTGGATGTTTTAAACGTATAAACATTTCAAAATATAAGTTTGAAACCCTATTTTATTAGGATCTATGAACTCAAATATGGCATCTTGCATTTTGCATTCAGCTGGATAAGTAAGGTGATTTTTTTTAATGTTTGTTTTTTCCCCTTTGGCATCACAAACAACACATATTACAATCTGTGATTTTGTTTGTTCTCAAAACTGTCAAACGTCATTTAATTATCTTTTAGAAGTTCTCTTCCTGAAGGGCCTTCTTTCCACTCTGCTTCTTCTATGAGGCAGGAAGTGACAGTTCCCATCTCACCAGGTTAAGTGCATCCTGACCTTTTGGTTTCAGTGCTCAACACAGCCTCCATCTAAGCTAATCTAGAATGGCATGACTGCTGTTGGCCACCACTGTGCATTTTTTAGTATGCATTTTTGGGTGAATTTTAGCTTATCTTTAGCACCAATGGGAATTTTGTCAGGCCAAATCAGATGCAACTAGGCTTCTTTTACAGCTGAACTTGGATCTTTGCACAGATATTTATTTACTGCTATGTTTCAAATTCTGCTCCTCAAACAATCTCATTAGGAAACATTTGCAGGCTTTGGCGATTCCCCGAGGCATAAATCAATAGCCGGTGGTGTATTCAGAGCCGTTCGCTGAAGAATTTGATTCTATTTGTCTGAGACGATTAACTCAGAGCTAACTATAAATGTGGAAATCACATGTGGAGTCTCTTCTCTCAGTGCTTGGCATATTTACACAGTAATTAATTTGACAATTAGTCATGAACTCCCCTGACAATTGATCATTTATTTAAAGCATGGCTGCTATTGATAAAAGGAGAATATGAATGAATTGGCCTTATCTCTCCTATAATTAGCCCAGCTGAGCAAAGTTTCTCTTTTTTCAGAAAGCCGAACAATTTTCCAGAGATGTATGCGACCAATAGCCTTTTTATTAGATACACCTTACTGGTGCCACGTTTAACCCCATGTTGTCTTCAGAACTGCCTTAATTCTTAATGTAAGACGTTCAAAAATAAAATATTTCTGGTCTGCATTAACATGACTGAACCACGTATTTAAATTCTTGGTAGAAATCTCATGTTCCACCACATCCCAAAGGATCTACACTGAGATCTGGTGACTGTGGAGACTATCAAAGTCAGGTGAGCTCCTCATAACGTTCAAGAAACCAATTGGAGATGATCTGAGCTTTGTGACCTGGTGTATTATCCTGATAGACGTAGCCATCGGGGTTCATTGTGGTCATAAAGGGATGGACATGGTCAGCAAAAACACTCAGGTAGGCAGTGCATCCCAGGGATCTAAAGTGGACAAGAACACCTCCCTCACACCATTACACCACCAGTAATGGCCTGAATTATTGAACGCAGAATGGATCAATGCTTTTCTGTTGGTGACACCAAATTCTGACCCAAAACTCTAAATGTTGCTGCTGAAATTGAGATTCATCAGACCATTAAATATTAAACAGTTTCTTATAGCTCTGGTGAATTGTTGCCCCATTTTCCTGCTCAGTGGCGCACACAAGCAGTGACCAGGGAAGGCTGGGGCCATCCCTGGAAAATTGTTGGCCACCCCATTGCCCCCCAAGGAGAACGCCCCCCTTAATAAAGAACATTCATGTTTACACAAACCATACATTCATAAATGGTAAAGCCAATCTATTTAAATAGGATTTTATTTTAATAAATATTATATTCAGTAAATTGTATTTTAAATTTATTTGATACTCATAATTAAATAATATATAAATCACAGTAGTTTTGTTCATTATTTAAAATTTCCAAAACAATCCAATTTCAAACAATAACTGAAACTAATAAAAATTTGCCCTTTTTTGGAAATATTTGTGTTTCTCATATTTGAAATAAATATGTTGAATGAAACTTGTTTTTTAAAGAAAAAGAGTGCAGGAGCACGCATTGCACTGCTACAGAATAAAACTTTCCTAGATTTACCACAGGGACCAATTTGGTGTGCCACCCCAAATTTATCATGGGCCCCCTTAAAACATTTTCTGCGTGCGCCACTGCTTCTTCTTCTGTGCTCCATCTGCTTCAAGGTTCAACATCTTGTGTATCAGAGATGCTTTTCTGCAGTCCTGGTCTGAATGACTCTTGTTTCCTTTCTATCATATAGAACCAGTCTGCCCATTCTCCTCTGAACTCTGACATCAACACGGCACTTTCACCAACACAGCTGCTGCCCACTGGATTGTGTCATTACATTTCATTACCTCTTTTCACATTGTAAAACCTAGAGATGGTTGTGGGTGAAACTCCCAGTGGATTAGCTGTTTCTGAAACACCCAGACCAGCTATTTGGGCATCAATAGACACAGCACGTTCAAAGTCCCTTAAATCTCCTTTCTTCACCTGTTGAACTTCAGCAAACTGCCTTGTGATTGGCTGGTAGTAAGCACCTGAACAGGTGAACGATAAACTTGCCAGTGAGTGTATTTTCAGAGTGAAAGAATAATAAACCTAATGTAACCTTTAACAGCTATACAGATCTAAACTGTGAAGCTGTTGCAGCCTGCAGAACAATGGGGGTGTTGTTTTTGTGTGCAGTGAATAATGAATTCAGCAGTCGCTTCCAATCCTGTGGAGAAAGAAAACAAGGATACTGCAGCTGCAGTACCACAAAGATGTATATTCAAACACATCTGGCACTTTGATTAACAAACAAACAAACAAACAAACAAACAAACAGCAATGACATATGAACACGTGAAATCATTAAATGGAAGAGAATTATCTTTATTCTTGTTGAACTGATTTAAAATCCCCCATAGACCCCTGTTGGACATGAAAAAGAACTAAAAGACACCTAAAATAGTAATTTCACCCAATGGGCTATAATCATTGTTTTTATTCATAATAATCTTTAATGGGTCACATGGTTCATCATTGCTGTTTTTTTAAGGCTCCCACATAAACATTTTTATTTCTGCTTCTCACCAAGTCCACAGCATCTACAGATGACATTTTGTTCACATAAATGTCAAATATGAATTAAGCGAGATCAATTTCTGCCGTTGTCTTGTCTGTGTTGCAAACTGTTAGAAAAATCCGATGCTGTAACATTTTGTGTTAATAAATGGAGTGAAAATGCCATTCCCATTTCAACCTCTGTAATGGCAGATGTGCTTCATTGGAGCATAGCATCAGAAACAACATTCACACACACACACACACACACACACACACACACACACACACACGCACGCACGCACGCACGCACGCACGCACGCACGCACACACACACACACACACACACACACACACCTCTGTCGAGTATAATTGCTTATGTGGGAACGAAGTGTTGAAAGTTTGTGGTTGTTTGAATATTTTACTTCACCACGCTGTTGAACAGTAACACAGAAATCGAGACAACACATGTTTCATGGCTTTGCATTTCTGCAGAATTACATCCAATCACTGCTGTTTCCACCTAGCCACAAAAGTTAGTTGTTGTTTTTGGCCAAAAATAGCAGAAAGAGTTGCATTGCCTTTAATTGGACTTCCTCTTTGTTTTTTAAGGGATATCTCAGGCAGAAAGGTGAAGGTCTCTCTTTTGTATAGATGCATGCTCAAGTCTTTAAGGTGGATAAACTGAAGGCATCCAGAGATCTTTTCCATATGATGGAGCTTTAAAATGAACGGTCATTCCATGTATTTGTCCTTTTCCACTTCGTGTTTTCCTGCCAGCTTTAGGATCTCAAAAGCTTGGTCGGCATTTGATGAGTTTATGGAAAGCCTGCTTGAAATCGTCATTGAAGGCAGTGTAGATAATAGGATTAATGAGTGAGTTCAGGTATCCCAGCCAGGTGAAGAGATCAAACAGCACATCACTGAACCAGCACGTTTTACATATAGCAGTAACGAGAGTACAAACAAAAAACGGGAGCCAGCAGACGATGAATGCTCCCAGGATGATGCCCAGTGTCTTGGTCGCTTTCCTCTCCCGCGCCGCGCACAGACGTTTCCTCTCCAGCACGCTGTCTGCCAGCTTCACTTTTACACTATTCATGAACACAGGAGATCCTCCGCCTCCACCGCCTCCTGCCCTGCCAGTGTGTAGGTGTGAATCCTGGTGGGAGCTAGAATTAAGAGAACAGAGAGAGGAGCCTGCAGAGGTCTGGATGAGCTGTGCTGTGGTGAATCTCTTCCCAGATGATGGAGTCTTAAAAATACGAGATCGGGCGGCGACGTAAATCCGCCCATAGAGGATGATGAGAAGCACTGTGGGAATGTAGAAGGCGCCAAAGGTGGAATATAAGGTGTAAAAGATCTTTTCTGTGTTTACCACACACTCCGTCAGTTCCTCTTGTGCTTTGGCCTGCCGCCAGAAAAGTGGAGGCAGAGAAATAGAAACAGAGATCACCCAAACCACCACCACCATCATCCCTGCCCTGCGCATGGTGCGGTGTTTTGAGTACTCCAAAGCATCTGTGATGGCCCAGTAGCGGTCCAGTGCGATAACACACAGGTGCAAAATGGAGGCCGTGCAGAAGGTGATGTCAGATGAAAGCCAGATGTCGCAAACAATCTGCCCCAGAGACCAGGTTTTGGTCACTGTGTAGACGATGCTTATCGGCATGACTAGAATAGACACAAGCAGGTCCGTGATGGCGAGAGATCCTATCAGGAAGTTGGCAGGTGTGTGGAGCTTCCTCGTCAGAAAGATGGTGGCGATGACGAAAGCGTTTGACAGGGCTGTAGCAAGAGTGACGACAGCTAACAGAACATACAGGGAGACCTGAAGGCTGAGAAGAGTCCCCTCACTCCAAAGTGGGTCTGTAGCATTGTCACCAGTGGCGTTGTCCATGATTTCAGTCCACATTTAACGATCCCAGTGATCAGTCAGCTTATATCAAAATCTAGATTGACCATTTTACTTCTCCTGTAATAACTGGCTTCATTGTTGTAGCTTCAGGAGAGTCAAATCCTAATTTGTATTCAGCTGTGGTCATACAGGCCATCTCTTATCTCATCTCCAACCAGCAGGCATCGACACTCTCTGACCAAGCTCTCCTATTCATCAAACGCTTTAAAGGGCTCCTCCTTTTCAACAAAGCTAAGTGGGGAGCTGCATGTTGGAAGATGGTGACAGATTCAAAGGTTAGCTTTATTTTTCTTTATCTTTTCTGAGGTCCACATGAGACCTTTGGTTTTGGGGATTTGCACATCTGCTGTCTGACGATGCTCAGAAGCCTAAAACATCAGACTTAAGATTAAAATAGAATCCTGATGTGGAACAATTCTAGTTATAGAGTCTGCTCATGGATAATTGTTCAGTATCCAAGGGGATTTCTGGCAATTATACACAGGTTTGCTGGAATGTGATGAGCAGCAGAGGTATTTTGTTTAGGTTTCCAGAGCTGAATAGGTTCTTTCCCACAGCGTCTCCTTTTTTTATGCATCGATTGTCTAGGAAAGTTTTGAAGTGTAGTGTCCACGGGGATTACAAGGTTTAGTCAGACTTTAATCCAGTGTCCTCTGAGGCATTTATGTCCTATATGGAACAAAGAAAGAGAAAGAAAGAAAAGGAGAAAACGATTACATATTTGTTTTAAAACCGCCATCTTCTGTATATTTTCTGGATAAATATGTAAAAACAAACCACCAACAGGGTAAATTATCTGGGGTAAGAAATGTACCATTCAGAGCCTCACATATTTGTAAAGTGAACCTTATGAACTCAAAGTTATTAATACCCGAACGCCTAAACGCTTGGCTTTAGAAGCAATGGAATCTCTAGAGATGAATGGAAAGCCCTATGATTTGGCAGAGTCACAGGTCAGACATTTGAAAATCACAGACACCACACACACAAGAATGCCAAAACATTATTTTATTTATTGATGAATGTTTTCTAAGATGCATTTTTCTCCAGGTCAGGGATGGGGCCCTGCCTCAAGTGGAGGAGTTCGTTTCTCATGGTCTTGTTGACGAGTAAGGGAAAGGAGCACGAGATCAATAGGTGGATTGTTGCTGCATCTGCAGTGATGCCCCTGTTGTACTGGTCTATTGTGGTGAATAGAGAGCGATGTACTGTTCGATCTACGTTCCAACCCCCACCTACGAGCTTTGGGTAGAATGATGGGCCATTCCCATCTGTACCGGGTCGGCCTGGGCCGGGTAGCCCCAGTCAGCCCCAGCCTGGCCCGGTTGATTCCACACATCCTTGTCTTAAGCCCATGTGGGCTGATTCTACCCACCAATCAGAGGCTTGCTCTAATGGAAGGTGTGAATTTGCTGTCAGCAGTGGGTGTGTTGGCCCTGGTCGGCCTGAAGCAGACCCCCTCGAGAAGAGGGCTGAGAATGAGCCTTGGTTGGTCCAGAAAAATACCAGGCCACCCAGATATGTAAACAACCTACGCTACCCGGCCCGGGCCGACCCGGTACAGATGGGAATGGCCCATGAGATCACAGGAACAAGGGGCCAACATGAGTTTTCACCACAGGGTGTGTCTGGGCTCTTCCTCAGAGACAGGGTTAGAAGTTTGGTCATCCAGGAGGGGCTCAGAGTAGATCTGCTGCTCCTCCACATCGAGAGGAACCAGTTGAGATGACTCAGGCATCTTGTTAGGATGCCCCTGGATGACTCCCTGGTGAGGTTTTCTGGGAACATCCAACCAGGAGGAGACCCAAAGGAAGACCCAGGACATGCCGGAAGGACTATGTCTCTCGGCTGGCCAGGGAACGTCTTAGGATTCCCCCAGAGGGGCTGGCCCAAGTGGCTGGGGAGAGGGAAGTCTGGACCTCCCTGCTTAGGCTGCCACCCCACTACATGACCTCGGATAAGTAGAGAATAAATGGATGGATGGATGGATGGATGGATGGTTGGATGGATGGATGGATGGTTCATTGGAAGATGCATTATTGACTCATATTACTAGACTGACTCATTTCAAAATACAACCAAATAATTGAAATGTGCCAAAGCGATGAAGGCCACGAATGATGTCTAATCACCTGGAAAAAACATTTTGTCCTCCAACTTGCCATGTGATATTAAAGCTTCATTCTGTAGTTTCCCCCCTTTTGGGAATTGTGTATGATTTTTCAGAAATCCATAACAGCAATGCATCAAATTCTTTTTTGCTAAGCCCGCCCCCGACCCGTTGCACCCCATGCTATTTGAATTACCGTAAATCCTCTAATACAGGCCGGTATTCAATTAAAGGCCGGGTCTCCAATTTTGGCCGGTGTCGGAGTCAGCGGAGGTGAATAATGGCCGGTCTCTTATTGTGGCCGGGTGGAATGTGGTAACAAGCAAGTACGGGGGCGGTTGTGTCATCGTCTCACTTTTGATTTGCCAGTGATAGACCGCGAGGGTAACTTTAACCGTGCGGAGACGAAGAGGAGGCGAAAATTTGATATCAAGTTCAAAGAGAACGTGCTGATTATGCTGCAGAACACTCTGGGGAGCGGTAGCAGGGGTTGTATGAACTAGTCGACTTCACTATAGTGACTTTTTATGCCTGTCGTCGACTAGTCGCTGTCACGTGATAATGACCGGCAAGATGCAGCCCTCGGAAAAGACAGCAGCCTGCTATCAGCAGGTGACAAACTCCTGCGCTCGGGGGGGGGGGGGGGGGGGGGGGGGGGGCAACGCGCTGTGCCAGTGCGTCGGTACTGACACGCGATCGTTCATGTCGGTTCATTTCCTTTAATGTTTTCTGTCTTTTATTTGTGCCTGATGTGTTTCGCTGCTGTGGAGCGGAGCGCATCACCTTGTCCTCCGACGCACTGATCACTGATGCGGCCGCCAAGCAGGGAGCGCTCCGCTGTTTTTGCGGTCGGATCTGCCTCCTGAGCACGGCCACAGTAACAATCAGGTGTTGCCAAATTATTTAACACGCGATCGTTCATGTGGGTTCATTTCCTTTGATGTTTTCTGTCTTTTATTTGCGCCTGATGCGTTTCGCTGTGGAGCGGGGCGCATCAACTTGTCACCCGGTGACGCACCGATCACTGATGCGGCCGGCAAGTAGCGAGCACTCTGCTGTTTTTGCGGTTGGTAGATCTTTTAGAACTGCAGTTCAAAGGTAACTCATAAGGTGAATATATATGAACCCAGGTAGCAGTTTTTCTTTAGGATTGAGAGGAGATGCAGGAAGATAATAAACAGACAGGACAGAAAAATAGTCAAATAAAAACAAGTTAGTTTTTGTACCTGCTGGTTGCAACAAACACCATTGAAGGTAATCAGAAGTGAGGAACAGAAAATGAAATAATTATTTTAATGTTTAGAGCAGCAGGAACTCCGAGAGGCTGCAGGCGCATCAGTGAGTTTGCGGCCGCTGCGCAGGGGGAGGGGGGAGATGGCTGAAGCAGAAACTACCGTTGTTAAAAGAAATGTGTTTAACTTTGAAAATGTGGGCGCAATTTTAATTGTCAAAAACTCCAGCGAAGCATTAGTTAATTTTGCTCAAATAGAAATAGAGGCCTGCATCTAATACTGGCCCTCCTTCAATAAAGGCCTGGAGCTTGATGAGCTTGAGTCAAATACAGACCCGGGCCTGTATTAGAGGATTTACAGTAAGCACCGCTCAGCATTAGCCAATAGCGTTCGACATTTTCTTACGTACAGATGTCAATCACAGAACGTGCGTGGGTATGTGGAAGGACCTAGAGTGATGCAGAGTAGACAACATTTCTTAAAAGTATAGTTTTACGAGGGGCGCTGCTTCCAGATGTAATCACCAAAGTAAGGAGAGGAGTTTAGGTACAATACATTTTTTTCCATCTCTAGATGGTGTACTCTGACAAAAAAAACTCTGGATTTCTTCCAAAATTTTAACAGCTGCGTCATGCACAGGGTAAAATCCCTGCGTAATTTCCATAAATGAAATGATAAGCACACCGTTTTATTCTACTGGTTTTAGTTTTTTTTTTTTTTTTTACATTTCATCGATCTGTGAAGGAAGGAACGGGCATTTTAGAGTAGAAGTCTTCTTCCACGTTAAGTTCTAACAGACTTATACAAGCATGAAAAACAGGAGATGAGAGAGAGTGAGAACGGCAAACGTTTATTTTAAAGCAGTGGTTGGATTGTTGAAGTCTTCCCTGAGGAGGAGACATTTTTTTTGGAGGTCAGCCCTTACAATAGCCTGCAGGGACCATGTATTAAACACATGGTGAGGCTTTTTATCACCTCTAGACTCTTAGGCCTAGTCCACACGTAGCCGTTTAAAAAAAAAAACGAATATCCGCCCCTCCAAAAACTTGCATCCACACCACCTCGTTTAAAAAATACTCTGTCCACACGTACCCGGATAAATACGTTGTTAAGGACATGCCAGACCTGTAGGCGGCAGTACTTCCCCCGTTCTTAACCTCGTCCTTCGTCTGTGGTCTTCCGCAAGGAGCAGTAACTCCGCTTGCAAACACAAACAAGCAAAAAGCACTTGGACAATTGATGAAGCGAGCACAGCTCTGAGGGCATCCATGCTGTTGGCTAGTGTAAACACAGGTCGCACACGTGATGTCAGCATTTTTTGTCGCGGAAAGTGACGTTGCAGACCTTAAAACTCCGGTTTAGTCTGTCCACACGTAGACACCCAAAACGGAGAAAACGCAGATCTTCACTTTGGCCGGAGTTCTTAAAAAGATCCGTTTTCATGTGGAAAAAACTCAGTTTTCGTGTGGATGACAGGCCAAAACGTAGAAAAATATCTACGTTTTGGCAGATCCCCGGCTACGTGTGGACAGGGCCTTAATCTCCAAACTGGGAGCTCGAGTTAATAGTAGTTTTGTGGTTAGACTGCACTGCAGAATATTTCTGATCAGAGATTTCAAATGTTTTTTTTTAACATTTATGTTTACATTTCCATACAGTGATTAAAAATCAGGAAATTTAAAGGCACCCCCCAACAACATAATTTTTCAGGATTCTTCCTCCATTTTCCACATTCTTTTCATTTATGTTTCTATGTAGTGTAACTACTTATTCAGACACAATGGCTTTATGCCGTATGTTTCTGAGCTTCTTAATCATGACATTAGGTGTTTCTTTTTTTAAAAACACAAATACTGTGTCATGAACTGAACTAGAGGGACCCATGATGACACCAAACACTGTAAAGCACCTTTAAAAGTCTTTATTAGATGTGAAGTCACCAGAGGTCTGAGGTGGGAACTGTCCGGTAGGGAAATCCAAAAGGCGAGATCGGGGACTGAGCCGGATCTGAGCCAGAAGATCAGAGATGCAGAGGAGCAGACAGAGAAATCCAAAAAGCGAAGTGAGGGACGGAGCAGGGTTCTGGAACTTCGATGGCAGGGTGAGTAACTGGCTGGAGAATTTACTGGCAAGAAGTGTTCAATAATCTGGCGATGGTTGAAGAGCAGGCTGGGGTTTAAATAGCAGAAGAACAGGTGTGGAGGATGAGTTGATGACAGGAACAGGTGGGATGAATGAAGTTGATTGCGGTTGCCAGGGAAACAGGGCTTGGCTGGGGCTTGATGAGGGGACCAGGTGTGTTGCATGAAGGCTGAGGAGGGTGAAAG